TTACCCCTCAAACATCGTGCATCTTTGAAAAAAAAATTTTTTTGATAGTTATTAGAGCCTAATAAACTTTGACTATGAGCTCGCTTGTTTTTCTGTAGAGGGTAAAATTGATGCACATTATTATCTGCGTGTTGGTGATGTTGTAACTATAATTTCTAAAGAAAGATGTGAAAGTTTTGCAATTCTAAGGGCAATTTTTAGACATAAAAGAGATAATTAATGGTTTGTTTTTATTATTATTGATAGATATGAAATTACCAATTAAACGAAGTTAGAATATCCAGTATATAAACTTCAAAATACATGAAAAATTTGTCTTATAAGTGAAGTTGACACAAACAATATTGCACATTTTATTCATCATTGTAATAGTAAATGCATTGGTGGTAGTGATCATGATTTTGAGAATAACTTATATATAAAAAATATATATTTTTTCAAAGTTGTATAATACTTTATTAATATGATTACTCGTTTATTAGTATATATATTATTGCATTAGCATTATAGAAAAATATGTATTTTTTCAAAGCTATATATATAAATACTTTACATATCTTCTATTACAGTATTACCATTACAGCAGTATTACTATTATAGTATTAGCGTTAGATGCAAGATAACTTTCAAAACCTTAAATAGACATGCCCCTAATTTTTATTATCTTGTGTAATATTTTTTTTTGTTAAAAATAATTGATCGCATATAATAAGCTTTCAAATCTTTGGAATTTACAAGAGGGTCGAACTAATAGATCATACGTTTTCACGTTCTTTTATAACAAACTTTATGTATAATAAATGAAGCTTATATAATATACAAGATAGTGTAATGACTATACTGTACCGTTTTTTGTCATTCTAAGCATGGATTGGTGTGTTATTTATACTTTCAATTTATTTTTACAAATTTGCTTTACTTTGTTCTAGACTTTATATCTTTAATATTTTCTGTTTCTTAGTATCAAATAAATAGGTTTGAGAAGACATTATCATTAGTACAGTCTGGGAATATACCAAATTTGGTCATCGATGATCTTACCTTATTTGGTAAATGATCATCAGTCGGAT